GTATAGTCCATCAAGACTGAAGTATAGTCCATCAAGACTGAAGTATAATCCATCAAGACTGAAGTAGTCCACCAAGACTGAAATATAGTCCATTAAGACTGAAGTATAGTCCATCAAGACTGAAATATAGTCCATTAACACTGAAGTATAGTCCATTAAGACTGAAGTTTAGTCCATTAAGACTAAAGTATAGTCCATCAAGACTGAAATATAGTCCATTAAGACTGAAGTATAGTCCATTAAGACTGAAGTATAGTCCATATAAAATATCAGCAGCTGTCAAAAGTCCTGACCCATACCTAAATAAAAACAATTGCAATATGAGCACAACTTTCTTGACTTTCTGTCCAAATATTATATTTGTTAATTCCCTCATGCTGCATGCAAATCTAAAGCAAACAAGTGTTTGTTTCTTCATTAACAATGGCCTATTGTTTAATGACAGTTCAGATTACTGGTTTTAGTACAAATAGTACTCACCAAGCAGAGGGAATTTTTCATTTTGATGAAGTTTGCTGAAGGTTTTGCATGGTGGAACTGAAAGTACATAAAGACACAAAAAAACAACAAATTAAAAAGAAACAGTATAAAAATTAAATCGAATCAAATTAAATACTGAAAACTATGTTTTCACAAACCTTCACACTTTAAGAGAGTATGGTACAGTTGAAGGGTTTTCATTGCTGTAGTCCAAACAAGAACAAGACAATCTAATTACAATTCTTTTTCTAGAGAATGCAATGTTATTTATACTGTTGAGTAAAGATAAATTCAGATCATTACACTGGGCATTAAACAAAGTATTTTGCAATTTAAAATAAGAAAGTCAAACCTTGGACGTAATTAATAGAGGAGCTGAGGTTATAAAAGATAGAGTGTGGAATATCCACAACCTGCAAATACAAAATGTCAAAACAAAAGTTATGGATCCAGAAAATTATTCTGGAAACCTACAATTTTCTTTCTACATTACCAACCTTTTATACTAGGTTTTATGTTAAATGTTGTAAACATATATATGTAAAAATATTGCAATTAACCTTCAGAGAGATTTTATTTGGCCCTCTCTCCTCCAATGCCTCTGACTTCAGCATGCTGTCATCAAGAGCTTTTTTCCAGGCAAATGGCAGACGCCACGGATTCTGGTACATCTGAGGACAGAAGAAAAGGCATTCATTACACGTGACAATCTGATAAATCAAAAAGCAGACCAACTAGGACTTTATCCTCTATATGATGGAGTGATTTCTAAGAGTATTAATAAGATTTACCAGGTAGTTACATCTGTCAGGGGATATATGTATATGTGATACTTCGTTAAATAAAGATCCTTCTGTACAAATCATCTTATTCTGTGTCACTGTGATCTGAATGGTACATTATTATAATGCTTTGGAATCAGTTTGTGGAATGACGTTGCCAGTAGTAGCTGGCTAGATGCTTATGCTTACATTATAGTTGCTGACACGCCAACTGGATTGACTGACAGGTTGTGTTGCAGATCCGACTTGCACAAAAAACAAACAAAAAAAAAAAAAAAAAAACAGCCGCTCGCCAGCCATGGGTGGAGATGGGGCGGCCTAGGTGCAACGGTAGCAGTGTTCTGAGTTTTAATGTTGTTGACAAAAAGTTCTTTAAAAAAAACAAAACGCAAAACGGAGCACTGGACCTGCAGCCCACACATCAGACTGACCCACCGGGAAATCTCCAGATCCTCCCGATAACTTGATGGTCAAGTATACAAATGCGTATGGTAACAGGTGATGCTATCATTCCTGATTTTTTGCTGTGCATGCGTAGCAGTTATGTGCATCACTGCCAATTATGCCGTGATATAAACACCTGTAAACCCTATAAACACAGATTTTCACCTCTTAAATGCTGGTAACCAGCCGTAATTGTACAATGTATCCAGCATAGGTCGCATGAAGACTACTTTAAAGTCATGGTCATTCACTTAAGTTTCACTTTCACAATCAGCGCCTGTCACCAGGCCTTTAGTTATTTTATTGCCACAAGAATGTGACATGTCTTCCACAGCACAAGAACCCTACCCATAGCACTGTTCATCAGATTACCGACAGATGTCTTGAAATATAGTCCAGGCAAACTTAACAAGAAGCACCTGGGTGCTTCTGAGTGCAACAGAAACCAGGCGTGGGGGAGTCGGAAAAACATCATAGACTTGTGCTATTGCTGAGCTGGAAAAACCCCATGGTCTTCTGGAACATTGAATCATAGTTTCAGTACAGGATTAAGCATACCTGTATACATTTTTCCCTTACACCCCGGCCAAGATTCGATCTGGCAACCTTCTTGCTCAGAGGCAGCAGCTTTATCAACTGCGACACCATGCCACTCCATTATATGTCAGATTACCTTTTTTTGTTTTTGCACAACTTTTTAAATCTTGTCTGACAAGAACTGAGAACAAGAGTCTATCATGTTTTAAATCTTACACATATTACAACAAAAATTATTTTTCATAGAAAACTTGAAATACAAATTAACAAATGCAAATACCAACAAAATCCCTGTTCTGCCATCACAAATAGCATGGCTCGTCACCTTGAGGCTAACATGTAATGACTATATTACAAAAATAAATAAAGAAAATACTTTAATATAATCTTACCAGGGTTTTTATGAGATGTTTTCGAGACTCACAATGTTTCCTGATGACGGGCTGTGGAACACGCTCCAGACAACCAAAACACAAACAAATCGGTTCCACATCAACAGATGAAGAGATGCACGTAACAACAAGGTCTACTCCTATAAAAAAAATACATATATTATTTATTTATTATCAAATCATAATTGTATGTGAACATAAGGCCATTTTCTGAATCTAGAATCAAATTATAATTGCAAGTTAACATGAGAGAAGCCTCACCAACAAGTGGTTTAGTTTTTAAACCCTCACAGGAGTACGTGTACAAGTCCAAATGCAATTTCACTAAAAAGGAAGAAAAGTCACAAAGTAGATAATATAAAAATCTTCATTTTTCTGACAGTACAGCATATACAAAAGAGCTCAAACTCGGATGTATAATGAATATTTTAATCTTGTTTATTTTCAGATTCAGTAATACTTTAATAATCTCATGAGAAAAATCAAAAATTTTGAAAGAAGCCCAAGACAGAAGATAACAGCCAAATATTGGTAGATAAAAGTAGATCCAAAAGGCTAAATTAAACAAGCCAAAATGGAATAAGAATTTGATGCAACAATTATTACAATGTAGATAATAGTTTTATATACATTCTTGAATACAATACAATGAAATGTACACAGTACACATGGTGCTTTATTACAGTTAACACAGTTTTACAATTATGCAGTTTTATTGAAAAGTTTGAAGGCTGCAGACAGGAATTATTTTCTGTGTCTCAGATCTGCAGTGTGGATAGATCAGCCCGTTGCTGAAGGAGCTCCATAAGATGAGCATCAGCTGCTCGTGTAGAGGACGAGAAGGACAATCCAATTTTATCTTATTCTGGACAGTGTCCTCTCCAGGCACACTGTCAGAGATTCACATTTCTTACCCACCACATGGCCAGCCTTTCTGATAATGGTAAATGGACTGCACTTATATAGCACTTTTCTATCTTATGAAGACCCTCAAAGTGCTTTACACTACAACCTGTGCCTCATTTACCCATTCATACAGCACTCTACTAGATCTCTACAAAGCTAATTGAACAAATCATTTTAAAGAAACTAATCAGTGCTTTAGATCACATTCATACACCGATGGGACACACATCAGAGGCAATAAGGGGTTCAGTGTCTTGCCCAGGTTCATTTCAACATGTGACTGCTGGTGGATTCGAACCCCCAACTCTTGCATTGGCGGTCGACTGCTCTAACCACTCAGCCACAGCCGCCCCCCACACAGCCACTCTTGTTGAGTCTGCTGGTGTCTCACATGTAAACATCTCCCCTAGCAGACAACAGCATTGAGGATGGCGCTGGCCATCACAGACTCATAAAACATCCATAGCACTGTTCATCAGATTACTGGTAGATGTCTTGAAATATAGCCAGCTGCCACTTTATGTAGTCCCCATCCACATTCTTGAACCAGTCCAGTTTATTGTCCAAGTACAAACTCTTCCACATCCACACAGACCCTTTGAATGTTAACAGGACTTGCTGGAGCCCTGATCCTCTGCAGATCCACCACCAGTTTCCTCGTCTTTGTCACGTTGAACTGTAGTTACTTCTGCACCACATGACAAAGTTGTCTACGACCACCTTGTACTCACTCTAATCTCAACCAGTGATACATTCAACTACAGCAGCGTTGTCAGAGAACTTCTGGAAGTGGTCAGTCTCTGTGCATATTTGAAGTCAATGATGAAGAGAATGAAGAAAAATGTATTAAGTAAAGTCCCCTGCGTTGTTCCAATATTGCTGATCACTCCGTCAGACATGACTTCTTTGGCACAAGAATGTGGCATGATGTCTTCCACAGCACGAGAACTCTTTGAGGACTCATCAATTTAAACTTGGCAAGACATTAGAAAGTCTGTTCTCACTGATGTAGTTGTAAGATGTAGTCTTCCTTCTCACATGATCAGAGAGCCCATTCTGTGCACAAGCTCAAGGCAGACTTTTCTCGCAGGGGTATGCACCAAAAATTGTGAATAGTTAAGACCTTTGTGAGGTTGTTCATGTTAATGCTCTCGTTTCACTTCAATCACTCCACTAAGGAGCAAGTTGGCTGAGGCACAGCCATCTTTATAACTTCTAGCAAAACTTATTAAGAAAGTCAAGTATGGTACATTTTATAGAGTCAAAAAAAGTCATGGGAGGAGACAATTTTATTTTCCCGAAAGAGTGTAGAGACACTAGCGGCTCTCCGTAGTTTACTGGCTTGGAGGGAGAACACCTCAGCGAGGCCGTAGGGACACATCTCCTATGTTTGCTTGTTTGTCAAATACGGTGCCAGTCTCTTGGTGACGATGTGCAAATTCCTCCTCTGTAAATAACAGTAATACCAGATATTCTTCCTCCTCCTCTTCTAACATGTTCTTATATTCCTCCTTCAACTCCTCCACCATCAACTGAAAATACAGTAAACATCCAACTCTGCCAACTGTGCTCTTTCTGTTGTTTCTGTTTGTGTCGTGTACTGCCTAGCACTGATACACAATATGGAGATGACTGGTGGGGAAAGGGTGAAGATTTCTCCCTGGAGAATGCATTCAGCCAAGGGGTCTGATTCTTGTAGCCGGTGATGGCCTTTATGCCACTTCATACCTTTATCATGATTTGATTAGGTTTCTCTTTCATCTTCCCCCCTGTGAATCTCCTCTGAGCTCTATTCTGACAGATGCAATGTGCACAAATGCCCAGAATAGCAAAATATGCTTTACCAAGTCCCTGAAATTGGGTGGATGCTGAAAACATGAATTGTCTTGTATAAGCATCTAGTTTGCACCAAAACAAACTGAAGATGTGCAAGTAAATAAAATGATGTGATCTGTAAAGTGAAGCAGGTCAGGAATAACGTTTAACAGATATTTAACAATCACCTCAATTTAACAACCTAAACTACTTGTCTGTTGTTGATGATGGACGGAAACAGGTTGAACATTTTTTGCATGCTTAACACTGCAAAGACCAGCCATTACCTCAACTGTCAGGTCAAAAATAAACTTGTTTTTGAAAAGTAATGTTCAAAGACCTGTCTAGAACAATTATTTTTTGAGTAACAATTAAATCCAAATGAGCATTTAAATAGCAAAGGACACATTGGTATTGATACATTTTCCTTTAGAGAAATATACCTTTTGAGTCCCTGGAATTCTCCCCCACAGCTGTAGAAAGACGGTAAATGTATTTAGAGGACTTGTAGCACACAAGTATATGACTTAGATTAGGAAAAAAGTGAACATTACCTTTAAGAAATTGTTTCATCAGTTGCTGTAAAAGAACATTGAGCAGTTACAATGAAGGCCCAGTCACCATAAATAAGACTTGAGACTTTCTGCAAAAGTAAAAATTTGTCATTTACCTTTTTGTGACGAGGCTGTGACAGATGTTTCAGATAAGGCATACTTTCAAAGTCATGACAGCAATTCTATTTGGAAGAAACCAAGAACCAACAAAGAACAAAAGTCAGCTTTTGATCCAACGTTTTCTATGTAATGTTAATGCCGATAACAGGCGTATTGGTTTTGTACTACTAGTGCTTAGCATATTTTTAGTTAAATGTTTTTCTTAGTACATATCTTAGATCTTATTACTGTTTTTCTTTTACATTTTATACTTTTTGTTGTACGTCACTTGGACCCTGTGTACACAATTTCTTTCTACCACATGTACCACATGTGGTGCATTTGACAAATAAAGAAACTTAAGACTTTTGACTTTGAACTTTGAAGTAAAGAAATAAAACAAATGCTAATATAGATTTATTACCTGGCAGCGAAGCAAGAGATTGTGACTTTTAGGAAATGGCTTGGGCGGTGAGAAGACAGCATCATACTCTAAAAAAAGGTGGAAAAAACAAAATAGCTTTGTTATGAAGCAGCAGCTTAAATGTTTTTTTGGAGTCTATAACCTTTGTGATACAATCACTGTATTGTGAGACAACCACAGAACAGTGGCACATACCTATCTTGTGTCCTGGTGTAACGGAGGTTTTCAAACTGCTCTTTGTGATGGATTCGAGTTTTTCCAAAGCTAAAAGCCACAATATGACAAACAAGAAAAGCACAATTCCACATGATTCTAAAAATCAAGTTAAGATAAAGCAAGCAAAAGGCAAAATATCAAACACCAACCTTCTGAGTAACATGTGAAATTCACCAACTGGAACTCGTCAGGCTGCAGTCTCACTTGCTGTGATGAGTACATTTATTTACATATATTAATGCAATTAGGTGAACACATTTTCAAAGCTTGGGATATGTAAACTTCACCTACCTTCATTGAAGCATGTTGGGTCTCATGTATTTTCTCTGCCAGCTTTGCAAAATTTAATATGGTTGGGACAAACAAATTGTAATTTCTGTAGGACAGTTTTGATTGCAGCGTGGAGGGATGCCATGCTTTCTGTGCAGAAAAAAATACAGGTAGGTGAAATGTTTGTTTCCCTACTGAGAGAAAATATAAGATTGAATCATCAAGTGTTTATGACTAGAATCTGAACTATGCAGACACTTAGTTAGTACAAACGCACCTAAAACAAACAAACCCTGCAGTAATTTATACTACACTGAAACACCTCTACCCTTGACCAATCTCTTGAGTATTCACACTCTACTTCTGAAATTGTATGCTTCCCAGACCTAAAGCTTGTGCTGAATAAGGTCCTGAATACAAGCAGCCAAAAAAGAGCTTCCCTCATGAGGTGACCTCTGCCTTAAGAGGTTCGTGGGTGAGGAGCCCCATTGTCCAGATGGAGCTCTGATAAGAGCTGCTACTCCTGTCAAGGGAATGCATTTTATTTGCACTCACTATGCTCCATAATTTACACTGCCTTTTTATTGGTATTGTGAATGATATTAAAATTTTCCATGATACGCTATGTAATAACTAGTCTTCATGTGACTGGTCAGAGAAGGGACAGCAATATAGTTTTTATTATCCTCAAGATCTGGTTGATGTGATTACAGTGACATAAATTCGGAGAGTGCTCGAGAGCAGCTGGCTCCCAGATTTCCCCCTGATTCCGACTGCAGCTGGGATCTGATAAAAGCTGGACAGGGTAGGGAGGGACTGGGGCCTGGCAGCTGAAAATGTATACAAAAATCAATTTTATTTTTGTTTAGGAAGTCAGAAGTGGTCAGAGCCTCAGACAGGTGAAAGCATTGATAAGTTATAATTGTAAATGCTTTGATCTTCTGTGATTGCTGGCTGTTCTCCAAGGCTTTGTAATAAATCTAATGAAGCTTACACCTGGTTGTTTTGGGAATCTCTTTTTTCCACTACACTCCTTCTTATCAAAAGGAGATGGTTAAAGTGGTTTAAGCATCGGATTAAGATGTTTCCTGTTGGGATGTTTTCCAGGCATGTCCCAATGATGAGAGGTCCTGGAAATAAACCACTACTCACTGGAGGGATTGTGTATCTTATTTAGCCTGGGAACCCCTTTGGGTCCTCCAGGAGGAGCTGGAGTGTGTTGCTGGGGAAGGGGATGTCTGGATTTCTCTCCTGGACAGACTACAGATAAGCAGTAGAAGATGGAGATGGAGAGCTATTGTTTGCACTATCCCCAAGAGCTGCAGTGAAGTCTGCAAACAGGCTTTTACATTTTCTGCTCCTGAAGCCTGGAACCACCTGTATTCACAACTTTGAAAATAGATCTCAGCTGGGGTTTGTTAAAAAAAAAAAAAAAAAAAAAGTGGTGAAGGTTTGAGAGGTTGACTTGATTGGAGTTTGTATAGTTGTAGTTTAAAGATTTGGCAACTGTGTTACACCAGATCCTGAGGCAACCTGGGCTCAAAAACCTGCAGCCTCTGGATCCCTTGGGGATAATAAAGATTCAGGATTACATCATGGCACTGACCACCCAACTTCAGCAGCCCTCAACCAAATTTTCAGACTTCTAAAATATGTTGTAGTGAAGTAGAAAGAATTATGTTCATGAAGAAGGCCATTTAGACTGTGCAAGGTCATCACTAAATAAGGAATGGAAAGTGTCAACCAAAGTTAACTTACATGGAAGGGAAAAATATGTTTATCTTACAGGATGTGAGTGGATGTCAAATGTCTGGGCGTAAGGCCATTAAATGTCTCTTGGAAGAGCTCTGCTTAGATAAGAAGATGTATAAATAAGAGTCTGAGAAAGTCTGAAGGTTTTATTTTTTTTCCAATGTCAAGCTGTTCAGTTGGTTCTGCACCTTTTCAATAAACCCAGATTTTTGCTGTAATCACAGACTCAAGTGGCATCTGTTTTTACTTGATTGAAGTTCAATGTAGACTACAGTAGTAGTAGCTGCAGTAGTATAAAGCTAATCAGTAGTAGCACAACAGACTGAACTACATATTTGCTTAAAACTTTGACAGTCAAAGATTTAAGTCAACTCGATGCAAGATGATCTCACTCTCAAACTCTGGCATGAAAGGCAGCGGGCAACTCAGTACTTTAAGAAACGCTAGACTTTGAGTACAAGTTTGAAACTCCTTTTTTAATAAAATTTGCCTTCATCTAACGACACTGTTGTAAAATAAATCATAGTAAGACTGCTTTTGGTCATGTGACATAAAAATTGCACTTTAATTGGATGTCAACTCACAAAATAGCTGTAGATGTGGTCAAAGCTGATAATGTGGTTGATGATCATGTGGTTGGCTACCGGTAGACCGCACAGCGTGCAGAGGTAGTGTTTGCTCTCACAAGGCCCAACACGGGCACATTCAATAATGTGCTGCATTCCTGCAAGACATAATTCAGGGCAAAGGTTTTAAAACAAGCTAATTATAGCTTTACCAAGACCTTTGGAAGGTGAATACTGTTGAATGTTTCCCAACTGATTCAAGGTCTTTATTCATCCAAATAAAAAAACATACAATTTAACTGAATGATATATTTATGTTCAGACATACTTGCACGCTTTAAAAAAAAACAATTTTATTACATTATACGCAGTAAAATGTTAAGAACATCAATTTATTTGACATTTTAACTGTAATCTTTACTGACCGAGGAGTGGCTGCTTCCTGTAGGTGTCATTTTGGTAGTTTTGGATTGTGATTCTCTTTGCCTGAAAATCTGAAACACATGTCAAGGCTGATGAACAAACTAAAAAAAGTAAGTACAAGTAAATTCAATAGGGATGCACAATATTATCGGCATGGTATCGGCCGATATTAGCATTAAAGTTAAATATCGGACATCTACCATTCCATCAAAATAACTCACCAATATAAAAGACACTATTTTTGTGTGACAACACAGTGACAAGAATGCCTGCAGCGCCAGCACAACGTGATGACATCATGCACGCCTACTTGATCTGGTCACGGCGGAGAGGAAGAAGTCAAAATATTGACAGTGTGGAAGATTTTTTCGTTGAGGATATTGGATTCCAAAGACTTTTGGACTACGTTGAGCCTCGCTACATCGTCCCCAGTCAGATATTTTTCTGACGTAGACTTAACAGAGTTACAAGCCGTCATTTCAGACGTCACTGAGAAGCTAATAGCCAATAGCACTTGTGAGTTTTACCACAGACATTTGGACGTCAAGTGTTAGCCCCGTTAGCATGATTAGTCTTATGGTACAACGGATAGACAAAACTATGAACTTAAAAAGGCTGTCCTTCATGCACAGGAGTGCAGAGGATCCCACACTGCAGCTAGAAACCTGGAACAAGCCTCCACAACTTAGTGAGACAGCATCGCTGGTGACATGCTTATAAATAATATTTAACACTTTTCATTTAATATAAGTTAAAGTACTTTGAATATGGCTGTTACTGAATATGTCACCAGTTTTTACAGCTGCTGCACAATTTTTGTAGCAAATAAGCCTAAATAAGAGGGCTATGTTTAGACAAAGGAAAGTATATAAAAATATCGGTACTGTATTGGTTATCGGCCAAATAAGCTTTAACATATCGGCCAAGGACTCATTTTCAAGAGATGTTCTGTGCAGCGAAGATGTTGGTGAAATCAGACTGTTTAAACACTGATCACTGATGAAAATTACTTTAAACCAAGCCCTACATAAAAATAATAGGACTAATGAACGGCTGAAACAACTCCACCAATAAAACAACATTTTGGAACGACAAAAGGAGTATGCATGATGGAAGGGTTTTACACTGTCTGCTTCCCGATAAGCAAAGGTAACCACTGGCAGTAGCGATAAGCACCTTTGCTTGCAGCCTCTCCTCCAAGGGGTCCGGAAGCTTACTTCAGCGCCATGGTATTACCTGTAGCTGTCTAAAGTAGCCTCATTAAGGCTGCGGCGAGGTGATTCATCCAGAATATTAACAACCTTAAATCCGTGAGTCACACCCTAATCTCACTCTGTTACCTCGAA